TATTCCTAAGTACCTCTCCCCAATAAATATTTACTGTAAGTCTAAGAACAAGCCGCCTACAGTTAGCACATAACTATTAGAATAAAATATTATGAGTGTATTCAAAGGTTCTTTATCTGTACAATTCATTCTTAATGGATGAAACTAGTGAAAAGGTGTGACTACCAACTGAACTGTTGTGAATACGTAGGATTTTCGCCCAAACCTAACGTAAGAGAAAGTGATAATACTGACCCTCATTCAGTTATAACATTAGCATTTTCCCGTATATTAAGCAAAAAAAAGTGTAATAAAAATAAATCTACTGTCCAGGAGGGGAGAAGAGGTCAACATTGCGCCCGACTCCCCCAGGTCACAGACCAAAAAACCCATACAGATCTTCGTTTATTTGTTCGAGTTGAGCACCTTAACAACCAGGCCAAGCCAGGTCCATTAGTGGTAGTGCACAAAGTAAACACTCCTTAATGTTAGTTAAACCAACAGTTCCTAAATGCTAAGTATATATATTTATTCACTATTTTTCGTTTTTATTGTTAGCTTAGTATATGAATTTAGGACTAACATAAATGTTAAGCTGACTGAACCTCGCGAGATGTCAAAAGTATTACAGCTAAAAAATTATAGTTATCAGCGAGGATAGCCACCTGATGAATCATTACAAGTTAGATAAATATATTACGTTAGGTATATTGATTACGGAATTAATTGATAATTCAGATCTATGTTGGTAGTTTGCGTTGATCAGAGGTTCAAGATAATTTATAGCAAAAGTATTTTTCAATCCCGGTATTCCTTTGGGTAACCTAGTATGGAGTTTAATGAGGAGAATTCCTAAAGAGGTTCACATAGATCTTACATTGGCATTTATTGTGTAAGTATGCAAGCATATTAAGTGTTTTATTTTCTTTTATTCAGTAAAGTGAGCACCTAACGTTAATTTCTTTTTCTTTTAACTTTAGTGTATATACGTGCATGTAATTTAAACAGTAAAATGATGGTCAAAGAATATAGTTAAAATCCTGTCACTTTAGCTACTCATTGTTCTGAGTCACTCTCACCTTTTGCGTATTATGTTCTTCCTCCTGGGAAAAATCGCTGTAAAGTAGAGCACTCTAGAAAAAGGTAGTCAGCGAAATTTTCCACTGACGAGTCATGTAACACCTATTGTAACAATCATCAGTTATGTTGATAGTATATGCTCATTGAAAAGGGTGGTATTATAGATACTTCTATATAATGCTACAGCTCTTTCAAACTGAAACAGATATAAAAGTAGTTAGAGCCCCACCTGCGCAACACGTGTGTCGACCTCGGGGGAGGGAGGGAAGGAGTAGAGACGATAGCATCATAGTTCCACGAAGTGGAACCAGAGGGCGTGTTGCTAGGCCGCCATGACATCAGAGACAATGAGTTCCAAGAAGTGTATCAAGATGGCTAGATTTAATACAATCGGTCTAAAACACTAATTCATTAGTTCTATATTTAGTTACATTTCCCGACCATATATATATATGCAAGTCATCCTGAAAAAGACATTTATTTAAATATCATGCAATGATTTAAAATTTACTGTTTCACTAGTTTGACTTTATGATATATACAGCTTGACAAAACATTTCATTTTACACATGATACTTTATAGTTTTATCTTACACGAGTTTTACAAGGATGGACATTCTACTTCCACATACAGTTACGTCATCAACGTCTAGATTTAATTATGTTAAAACCATTACTTGAACAACAATCTTACTGTCCGTAGGATTTTAAAAAAATTGCTGTTATCCATTATTTGAATGAGATCACAAGTTACATTTTTGTTTCACTTATATATATTTATCCGTATTACACTTATTTTACAAAAGTGGGCAATGTTACTGCCTGGTTGTATACAGATTTCCACATACATTTGACAAAGCTGTTTCTATACTTCCATAGGACAGTATGCAACATGTAGACGTTCTTTTCATTTCCATCTGTAGTTCATTAACACCATGGAGACATTTCACTCTGACTCATTGTGACATGTTTAGTCTATCTAACTTCGAAACACATGAGCTGCAAACTTTCTATAACATATAACAAATGTTTCACTAATTTTAACATCTAGTTAACAAACTCTACAGTAAATCATTTTGCTACACAATAAATGTGATTAATCTCTATTATAGAATCACAACATTTACAATCTTTTCATAAATCTTTGAGGACTGAAATTTCTTGAACATATGTCAACAACGATATAAAGTATAACATATTGTCCACATACACAGACGAATACGGTCCTTGGAGTACTTTTTTCCACAGTTCTCATCTTGACCAATGTAAATACAGAACCAATGGCTACCATATTTATTACTCGGATCCTGATTAACGATGTACAGTTGTGTTTATACATGATCACTAACAAACACGCCTCCACACTTCTTTTGCTGTATAAATCGTGTGAAAGTATCGAATAAATGTATAGTGTTCATAGCTTCTTTCAAAAAAGACGATCATCATGAGTTGCTGCAGTTGTATTCTGACTAACCCATGCATTCTCTTCAGGGTATTTCACTTTAAATTTAACACCGTTGAAAAAAAAAAAAAAGAGGTATCAGAACTAATTATACATGTGAAACAAGAAAACCCTACTAAATTTCTACCTCGATTTTCGTAATTCCTGGTTTTAATAACCTAAATTACAGAACTTACGCGAATCCTTTTTTTTTAGGTACTCCACTTTAAGTCATTGATTATAGTTTTCCCACGTAATTTTCAGTGTATATTTTCATTCCTTTCAAAACATGTTTTTATAATAATATTTACCGAGTTTTGCGACATAGCAGTCTATTTGGTCGTAGTGGAAATACAAATTGACATCACTTGCTACCACTCTCTTACATAGTACAGGTTGACCATCACTAGTCCGGCAATCAGTAATCCGGCACTAATTTCGGCTAGAACAATTTCAAATACAGTAAAACAAGATACGCGCTATTAGGTAAATACTTTAGTCTCGCTTGAAAGTTTTCTTTCCAATATTTTCTTTGATTAAAACTTAAAGAAAACCCCGTTTAATGGGATATTGTAATTTTAAGATGAGGTGGTTAGCTAGTGGGTTTGGTGTATTCTAACCTTATAGATGGCTAATCTGGCACCCTCCAGGTCCAGATGATGCCGGATTAGTGATAGTCAACCTGTACATCGCAGAAAATATTCGATCACCCCCCTGAAAAAGTCCATTTTTCTAAGTTACTTTGGCTTAAGTTTATGCAGTGTCAGAATTACTGAAATACTATTGTATAATCCTTCAGAACTGACTCTTGAATGTTTTAGTGATATAACCTATGAAATTTGCAATTACTTGAAAAAAAAAAGATAGGATAGTATTTTCAAATTTTGTAACGTAACTTTCTCAAAAGTGATGAAATTTTCATTAAAAATTATAAATGCGTTTCTGTAGATAACTACAATTACCACTAATGCTTATTTTGTCAACTCCGGAAATAATTGTAAGTATTCATTAACCACCCCAAAAATATAAGTTTTCCTGATCTTTTTATTTTATAGTATACTTACCAGTTCATTTCTTTTAAGCCTAACTGGATTGTAACGGCGTATTTGTTATCCTTTATAACGACTTAAGTCAAACTTTTGAAAGATAAGGTAAAACTGTTTGAGACAGACATCTGGCATAATCAAATCTAATTTGCAGACTCTGCCAAAATTAAAAAATGTTATGAGGATATTAATACAATTTGTAAATTTGCATAATTTCTGACTGGGTGATTATCTGAAATTCACTATTAACATTTTATTTTTGAAATGAAACTTCATATTGTTACTTTTCGAACAAGCTTATTGGCCAAAAATATACGAGTAAAATGTAAGCTAATTAGCATATTGGAACTTTTACATTTACGAAAGAAGTAAATCTAATTTTACACAACTGTAGTAAATCTTCACTGAAAACATTCCTTATGAAATATATTAACAATACTGTTGAATCTTGTGTGTATAGCAGTTTTCAGTAATTAAGTTTTTAAACTTTTGTATTTTTAACTTTACCACTTTATTAAATTTCTTTGTTGAAAATTTGAAAAAATGTCTTTACTGAATAACTTTACTATGATGGCTGTTACTATTAATTTTTAAAATCTGGTAACAAAAGAGTTAAACAACTAACTTTGTCTTGGTAGGAACGTGCTCAGTCTGATTGAAATAATGACTTAATTTTTTTAATGTTCTGCAATAGATAAAAAAAAAATATTTTACTCAATCTATATTAATGGATTTTCTTAAAATTACAAATTTAATTCCATCAACTAAAGAACACTTTTATAAGATTAAACTATATAATAATCGGCTGTAATTATTACGAGAACGCATTATTCCATATGCACTTTAGAATTATTATTTAAGTAGAACAAAGATAATCAAAATCAATGCGAGAATCGAAAATGTTTTTGTCATAAGGTATGTTACCACTATAACACTTCACATGTTAATTAAGCCTGCTGGAAAAAAACATAATAAGTTGATATTTTATACTATAGGTAATAAAAGTTCATACTGAGTATTTCCAATGACTGGGAACTATACACACATATACATACAAAATCATCCACTGAATCATCAAAATAAGATTTACATCTCATACGACAAATCCCTGGTTACATATCTGAAATTAATATTCTAACTATCCAGATTAGACATTTTCAAAAGAATTTGGAGCAAGTTACTGCAGCATTTCGCTAACAAAAGTGCCTGCATGTCACAAAAGTTTCTTTTCTTTTAACGCAGAAGTTAACCTGAAATATGTTAAGTAATGTCTCATGGAATGGAAATTATCAATCATTCACATATAAAAAATTCATTCCTAAATAACAGAATAGAATAGCTTAACTCCATATTTGAATTTTGATAAAATATTATACATCAAAGAACCATTTCAATCTATTCTGACTGTTGTGTATTATATTTTGTTTCATTCAAAAATAAAAGGTTGAGACTAGATATGAAACTAAATTTTATGAAATACGAAATGCAAATTAGCCAAATAAAAAGTACAATAGCTCATTATTCAAAGTGTATTACCTTTCAATTTATGTATTTAAAGTTAGATATTCAAATTCCACATACTTGCGAGAATAACACATAAAACAATTTATCATACCATGAAAACTGAGCTGTGGTAAAACTAATACTGATCAAAATAAACATGTACATGTGGTAGAAGGATTAATATTAAATTGAAGATATTGGATTCACAAAGATTAGAACATTAATTAATTTTCATAAAGCCTTGCAATAGTTTTGGCAGTACTCTTGAAATATGAACTTCCGCAAGGTTCAAAATCATCCAATTTTCTAGATAATAAAGTAACAAAAACAAAAGGGGTAAGTTGCTATGATATCAATATGAACAATATAGTAAAACAAACTAATCATTAGAGAACAGTATACAGCAGCAATAAAGCAGACAGACGGAGATATTAGATAATAAAACAAACATTTGTTAAATGAGTTAAGTATACCATATCAAAGTTAGAAATTTATTTCACACAAAGTTTAATAGAGCTTTAAAAATGCCATATAGGTTGTGTAAGTTCATCATTGTAACAGACCAAGTTGGTCTCATACAAGACTCTAATATTTATAGGTCTCACTTTAATCACTCATGTAAGCTTCTTCTCAACAATTTATAAAATCATATAATGTTGCCTAAGTCATCATCCTTGTAGATTGTTATACTGTCTACAAATTCTGAACATTTTTTAAAATTTCTTAATATTTAACTCATGTTGCATAGAAACACCACACAATAACATTGAAATGTTGGTATGTATTAATATACATCCACACAAATATTAAGTATCAGATGTGTACATCCTTAGTAGTGTTAGTGTAAATTTCAAACAAGTGCAAAAATTCCAATACAGGTTAACATCAAGCAAAAATACAAGCAGTTGTTTAGCATTACATGGTGGTATCATGGTTATCCACGGGTTTTTGTACAGGTTCATGTGCAGTTCTTCTTCTGTATAGATTAACTTAGGGTTCATTATACATAAGAAATTCTTTGCCTCTACAGATGTACGATACCTTAAAAACAACCACCACTTGCATAATAAACAAATCGTAAATAACTTTATATATACGTATGTGTGTGTGTGTGTAGTTTGTCACTGATATTACCTGTTAACACCTATCCTTCAAGTGGCAATGGTATTTAACATTTTTGTATGTCGATTTTCATTATTGTGCTTCTTCATTTTACTATAAAAGTAGCTGTTTAGGTCATATTAATTGTTCACGAGGTGAGAAATTAAGTTGTAAGTTTCTTTCTTTTCCCATTACTTGGTGTTTCAGTTGAGATTGTCTGAGAAAACAAATACACAAAATCCTTGAACAATAGTGAATAAGTGTTACACGCAACTCTGAAACTGAAAAATGTCACTGGTTAAAGTTTTACAATTATCTTTTTTTCTATACTAAACAGTACAAAAAAAAATTATGCATTTCACAATTATTATATCTTTTAGTTTATTCATGAACTCTTTTATATCTGAATGAACATTTTAATTATGAGCCCTTTCACTCTATTTTTTTTATCAGTTTGATAATCCTCAACTGTAATTCACTCAATATTCACTCAGTATGTCCATGGTGAGACTTTACGAAGAAAATTACTGAAGCATCAACTGAGTAATGTTTTTCTGTAAAATTGTGTCTCGAACGGCATTAAAAACAACTTTAATGTTTTCTGTGTCCACTGCAGTAGTAAAATGATGAAAAAGCTGTTTTTTACGTTCTCTCCTAACAGAGTCAAACATATTAAGGATAAACATCTGTACATCTTCCAGTTTGTAAGGATCTCCACTGAACTCTGGAAAATAGTATGAAATGTCAGAATTTTTGTTTTCTAACTTTTCTTTAAGAAGATCAGTTTTGTTAAGGAAGAGAATCACTGACACTTCAGAGAAACACCTGTTGTTGACGATGGTTTCAAAGATGTGCTTTGACTCCACAAGACGATTAGTACAGCGGTCTTCTACAAGTACTTGATCATATTCAGTGGATGATACTAAAAACAGAATTGAGGTAACACTTTCAAAACACTGAAACCATTTCTGTCTCTGAGATCGTTGCCCTCCAACATCTACAAAACGGAATGGGACGGTGTTGATATTTACATGAAATTCGCTTATTCCTTTAGTGGCCTTCCTTGCATGGAGAATGTCTTGATTTGAAGGAAGGTAGTTCTGTAATATGAAATTGAAAGGATATTATTGCTTTTTTAACAAGCATAATATTGTCTAAACTCTCAAATAGGTCTTGCTAAATTACACTTGCAGTATTCTGTACAAAGTTTTAAAAGATACTTAAGTGCATGTGTGACTCATAAAACTACTCCTAAGTGCAGTAGCAACAGTAAAAAAAAAAGGAAAATATATATATGTTTATAAAGTCTTTTTATTTTGAGAGAAATGGAATCCTACTTACTGGTGTCATTATTCTATCCAGGTTCTCAAAAAAGTAATACACACTATCTCCCTGCAAAAAAAAACAAAAGAAATCTACAAAACAAGTCAGATCTAGATTGTTTTGTTTTTTTTCTATGAGATTAAACAGTAGAATTACTTACTATTACGAAAGTTACGCCAAATTGCATTTAATTTTTTAAAGGATACGTGCATAAGTAAAAATTGCCATATCTTACAGTATTAATAAATTGATTTTCTTAACTTATATAAAAGCAAAACAAAAACATCTCATTTTTTGGTATGAATTAAGCCCACAACTATACTCGACAGAAAAAGAACTGTAATTTAAAAGAAAATCACATTAGAGATTTAACTTCAGTAAATATATATGTTTAGTTTGTAATGTCAGTTGATTCAGAAGAGTAATTTGACCCATATTTATAGTTTTATAAATTGTAGGACATGAAAGTGCCCTTTGGCCTTAAAAAGGATGTCTTGACTCTAAACCTTCTTAACAAACAGAAAACTAATCATTAAATCTAGCCTTGATCCCATTCCTTAGATATTCATCACCTCTTTCCATAAACTCATAAAACTGTAGCCTCTACCACTAAATATCACTTTGTTCGATAGATTTACGATCTTGTTGAAGAAAAACTGCCTCAAATTAGGTGTATCTTACCTTCCAAATATGAAATTTATGACTTTTTAATTTTATTGCCATCAGTCCAATATACAAAACATTTTATGCCTAAAACTTATCAATTTCCTTATTGATTTTAAATACTTCAATTAGATCACCTTTGACCCTTCCTTATTCAAGAGAGAACAAGTTAAGAGATCTCACACGACAATCCAACTGTCTTTGGAATCACTCTAGCAGCTCTACTCCAAACCTTCTCTGGCAACTAAATGTCCCTCTTAACATAAATAGATCAAAACTATACACAATACCCCCAAGTGAGGCCTAACTAATGAGTTGTACAATGAAACCACTGGTACTTTTGATTGTTAGTAAATAGTTCTACAACCGACAATTCTATTACATTTACCTCTTACAATAAACATTGCGTCAAAGTCTTAAGAACTGTATCAACCAATACCTCAAGCTCATTTCCTTATTCACAAAATTAGGAGGATTCCCATTAAGTGATTTGTGTAATTGATATTCTGGTAATCCACATGCATAATTGAATGTCACGTAAACAACTTAGATTATGAATGAATATATCGTCAACAGTGAGGGAACACAACTGATGAAAAAATGCATTTTAATCTGTACAAAGAAGAACATAAGAAAAAATATATTCAATTAACTGTACCAATTGTAAAGTTTTTAGTTTTGCTTTGATTACATAGCTAACTCTGATCAGAACTTAATATTAAGAACCATAGCATCCAGTTAAACATAAGAATCTATGTCCTATAATTCGCACACCAACATTTAACCAGAATTAGGTAACAAGTTCACACATCAACATTTAACCAGAAGTAGGTAACAAGTTCACACACCAACATTTAACCAGAAGTAGGTAACAAATTCATACACCAATATTTGACCAGAAGTAGGTAACAAATTCATACATCAATACTTGACAAGAAGTAGGTAACAAAATAGCCTGACCACTATGTATCTTTGACCTGTGGTTATTTTAATCTTTAATCTAAATGTTATCATGATCTACATTTCACAAATTGCTTCTTTAATCTTATGGTAATGTTGTGACAATTGGATATCAAACACTGCCATGGTTAGTAACCCATCCACACACTAGTCTAATGATTAATTAGTTACACTTTGCAAGTTTCACAATAGCAAAATAAATTCTACTTTTGGAGTCACCTTGATTTGCATACATAGCTAATCTTAAAGCTTTCAATCAGAGAGATTTTGTCACCACAAAACAGTTACTTTTCCAAAGAAGGGCTAAACAAACTTGATTGCTCTTGTAACAGTAATTGTTTCCCTTACCACCACTAACCTTTTACCAAATTAAATTACAAGTGTAATTTCATTATCTACAAATATTATTTGAATTATGCATCAGCATCTTTAGCCCAAAATTCAGATATGAATACTCCATTTGTAAAAACACCGAGTTTAAAAACTCCTATAAACATTTAGTAGTTAAAATTAAATGTTCCTGGTAGACAACAAAGTTTAATGGAATAATCAGGCCTGCAGATGTATTTAGAGTTATGTTTTTACTTTTGATAACAGTAGGCAGAGTGAGCTCAACTTGACAAGTGAAACTGAAAGTCCACAACCTGTATGTGGCAAATATCTTATCTGAACTATGAAATGTGAACTTTCATCCAAATTGAACAATAGATCCTAACCTAGATCACAATCTGGAGCCCTAGATACAAAACAACACAACTTGACTCACAGCATTATGTAGTTATATACTTACCAAGTTATTATAGTATTTATATTAAGATATCAAATCTGGTAAAAAAAAACTTGATTGGCACCTTTCAAAGCAATATGACACCATTAAGTACTAGTGTGCTTATTAATATTGTACATTTCTTACATAGTAAGTCTTTAATCTAACCATATCATTCCAGTTTCATGACCTTTAACTAATTTCTATATTTGTCCAGCATGTTACTCACATATATTAAAAAGTACTGTGATCAAAGTTACTTGTTTATTTAATAACAGCATATCAGACAAGTCTTCCCTGAAACCCTCCAAACCTAAATTCTGAATGATTAATAAATTAATGAAGTTTTTGATTGAAGAATCTTGTGTTTGCAAGACTTGTATTGCTTATTATCAAAATCACTATGTAATTTAAATATTTGAACTGAAAATGACTGTGTTCAGAAATCAAAATGTCATAAGATATGTAAACACCGATAGTTTGATTCATTTTGCCATGCTCATTACAACTAATTGTTAACACTGGAATAACAATGGCTTTGGTACAACTACATTTCCTGCAAGTCATCATTTCATAGGAATGAATATTATGTAAAATATAATATAAACAATGTACATTATAATTTTAAGTTTCTATATTTACATGTGAATATCCTAAAAGAATTATTTGTTACTCTTGAAATAATTTTCTATTAAACATAGCCTGTACTATTTGATTGTTCATCACTTGATAAAATTCACAAAATAATGTCATTTACTGGATAAGCTACCTCTTCTGATGTATCTTATAAGATACATTAAATTTGCTTTTAAAACATGAATACTTTTTTTGTGTAATTTACATAAACTCTTGCATAACATCAAGTGCTGGTACGGTAATAACATGCATTTGAACTGTTGAAATACATGTTTTAGTACAACAGTTTTCTAAAACATAAATTTAATGATATGAAACTATAGCAGACCAAAGTTCAATAATTATACTTAGGCCCTACCAAGACTGTCATGAACAAAGAACCTTCAAAAACTGTCAATAAAAAAGTCAATATCCCATTGGTCCAACAAGCCCTTATTAATATAAAAACTATACAAGTTTTCTGTAGGCTACAGCTCTCTTAGCCTGTGAATCTCACCTTTGCCAAAAGAGTTCATGCAACTGGAGCTAATATGCAAATGTAATGTACATCCAATAAGTAAAATAATCATTCAGATGAAGAATTCTTTATTTTAAACAAAAGTCAATGAAAGCAAGCTAATGTGTTTCTTGTCACTAATTAGTGAGTCCTTATTAAAGATTTAACATCTGTTCAACATTTGTGATATTAAAATTCAATGTTTTAGAAAAATTATTTGATAGTGTTAAGTCAGTTCGTACTCTTATTGTAACTAAGATATCTGTACCTTAATTTCAATG